AAGCCTCTCTTCATATTAAATTAGCCAAATTTGGACGTTTTCCTTCAATGTAAGGTCAGCTCCAAATGACTGGAAGTCTCTTTCCTAGCTAATGACTCTCCGGATTCCAACAGTCTTATTCTTCACAATAAAGTACCCGGAAAAGAATGGTTTAGATGGCAAGTCATACTTTAATTATTTCCTCTACTTATGAGATATTTTTCATTCCCAGAAACACTTCATAAATCAAGGGACAGTTAAAAAGGAACAGATCCATCTTAAAATAATAAAAATAAACAATGTGTGCATGGATGTGTGCTAAGTTGCTTCAGTCATGTTCGACTCTTTGTAACCCCATGTACTATGGCCCACCAGGCTCCTCTGTCCATGGGATTCTCCAGGCAAGAATACTGGAGTGGGTTGCCATGCCCTTCTCCAGGGGATCTTCCCAACCCAGGGACTGAACCCACATCTCTTAGTCTCCTGCACTGGCAGGTGGGTTCTTTACCACTAGTCCCACCTGGGTAGCTTACCAAATACCAACTACCACCATAAACACTGCTGGGATGTGCTAAGTGTGTGCTCTATGCCAGCTCTGAGCCAGGTGCCTTACACACGTTCTACGTTCCTTTCAACCATTCTTCAAGAGAGGCCTTTTACAAGGAGGACGAGAACAATGTGGTTCCCAGGAGAGGCCCGGGAACTCGGGCCTGCTGAATTCCAAAGCCTATCTCTGTGGTTTCCTACAGACAGGAGAGAGAGAGTGTCTGCCCAAGCGGAGCTAATACTACCTTTCCATCTTTTGGAAGAAAATTATATGGGAGAAACACATGGTTCTTCCACACATCCACCAGAATGGTTGAACTGAAAAAGACAAAAAATACTAAGTGTGGCAAAGATAAGGAACCAAGAATTCTCACAGTGCTGGTGGGAGGGGACCGTGAGACACCATTTTGGAAAACTGCTGGGCGGCATCTGCTAAGGCTGAACACATGTGTACCCTCTTGTGCCCACAACTGCACTCTCACGTGTGCCCAACGGATGTGCAAATGTGCGTTCACCAAAAGACAGGTACAAGAATGCTCTCACTAGCACTCGTTATAAAAGCTAAGAATTGTAAACTATTCAAATGTGCATCCACATCAGAATGGAAAAATACTGCAGTCATACTATCTGGCCATGAGAATGAACAGCCTGCAACTACACATAATGATACAGAGAATGTTAAGCAAAAGAAGTCAGACACACGAGCACATACAGCATGACTCCATTTACACAGAGTTTAAAAACAGGCAAAATTAGTCCATGGCATTAGAAGTCAAGACAGTGTTCTTCCTGGTGGTCATGGTGAGGGGCTGTGAATGAAAGAGCACGGGGGCGGGGATGCTAGGGGGAGGGCAGTGTGGTTTCTTCATCTGGGTGTGTTTCGTTTTTGGTAACTCACTGAGCTACATACTTATAATGTGTGCATTTTTTTCTCTATGTATGTCATACTTTAGGGGGAAAGTTCAAAACAGCAACAAACAATAAAACCTATGAGGGTTCCAGAAATGGCAATTCCCTGGATAACCTGAAGAGAGAACCACCTGCATTATTTGCCAGCTTTTTCAGCAAAGCTATCCATTCTGATAGGTGTCACCACAGAGAACAGCAGAAATATCAATAGGAAGGAGTCCTCCCTTTCAAGAGGGAGGACTCGAGGTCAAGGAAGAAATGTCTACTAAATAGACTAGTCTATTTTTAAGACAAGAGCAATCAAGAAAGAATATCTCATTAGCAGCTTATAATTACTTCCGAATCCCAATACAGACCACAACCTATTAACACAGTTTTAAAAAATGAAGTTTATAAAACCATGAGCTGTTCTACTTCTCTGCCTAGACTCATAAGCAGTTGAGAAACATCAGGCTGCCCAAGGATCTTCTACATTAGCTCTTTTTTTTTTTCCCCAAGACTCTGCTCTTCTCTGAAGTCTTTGAGTCTAAGAAATGTGGAACAAGGTCCTTAATGAGTAATTTCCTGAGATAAATGACTTTAGCATCTATTTATTTAGGGGTTAATTTAATAGAAAAATTTGGTTTTAAACCAGGAGCAAATCTGTAGACACAGGATGTGTAACGTTATCATGCAGGCATGACACTGCCAAGCTACCCACCTTTGACCCAGACTTCAACAGAACGATGGTCCAAATGTCAACAGTCCTCAGTCTCACCTAGCATAGTACAAGTCTCACTGAGCCTTAGGTGCCCAATCTTTTATGAGAAAAGAACATCAGCTAGTCAAAACAACTTTGGAGGAAGCACTGGTAATATTACTTGAAATGTCTAATGCTATAATTTTTATAAATTTTAATAATTTTTTGACATAATTTTTTACTTGCACATCCAAATTGCCTGAAACTACTTTTTGAGATTGTTTTTTTTTTAATGTAGACCATTTTTAAAGTCTTTTAGTGAATTTCCTACAATATTGTTTGTTTTATATTATGACTTTTTTGGCCTTGAAACACATGGAATCTCAGCTCTGGGACCAGGGATTGAATCAGCACCCCTTGCATTGAAACGCGAAATCTTAGCTACTGGACCAACACAGAAGTGCCCTGAAATTACTTACTTTTAAACAATAATAAAGGACAATCATTACGGGAGAGGGGCTTTACATTATCACTAATCTTCCCAGTAATCCCATTTTACTAATGAAGACACTAAACGTCTGCAGGGCTAAATAACTTGAATATTTAATATATAAATAATAACGTGGATGTCATATCAGAACTAGTCAGTGGTGAAGCTAGGATTAGAACCCTAAAGTCATTGTCTCCCCAACACTGGTGTGGTGAATGTATGGTCACAGTTCCCACTGGCCAAGGGCAGACATCACTAATCAAGGAAGACATACTTTCCTGCTGATCTCAAGTTGAAGCCTCAAAATCCCTCTCAGGAAAGATCTCCAGGATAAGTAAGAGATAAACCCTAACATACTCACTCTAAAATCACACATCCCTAATACTCTGGTTGGCACAAAGTTAGCTAAGGCCAAATGATTTATTCACCAAATATTTTTGGAGCATCGAATATGTTCCAGGCACTCATCTAGGCACTGGTGATATGAGTAAATACAGCAAACAAAAATCCTTACCTTCCTGGACCTTAAATTCTTCTGGGAGAAACAGACAATAAGCAATATAAAGACATAAAAACACACACAGTGATTTTAAGTGGTTTAAAGTGAAGAAGTGCTAAAAAGAAAAATATAGCAAGAAAAGGGGATATAGGGAGGGTTGAATGGGGAGAGTTTGGTTTGGATTTCAGATGTAAAGGTCCTGGAAGGCCTCATCAAGATGGCACTGGGTAATATCTGAAGGAAGTGAGGAGGACAGGCATGCAGTGATTTAGGTAAAGAGCCTTTTAGGCACAAGCAACAGGAAGCCCAGATGATCTAAGGCGGGAGCAGCAAGAGCAATGGGGAGAGCAGAATAATGTGAGCTGGGAGAAGCAACAAGACCAGGTCAGAGAAAGATTGGGAAGTCAGTGCGAAGACTCTGGCTTTCCCTCCAAACGAGACGGGTGTCACTGGAGGATCCTGAGAAGAGGTGTGACATGATCTAGTCTGTGTTTAATAGCATCACTCTGGCTATTGAGAAGACTGTACAAGGGCAGAAGCAGGGAGACCAGTGTGGTTGACAACCTCTAAGGTGGCTCCCAATAATCCCCACGTCCTGGGATCCAAGCTCTCGTTTAACCCTCTCTCCTTGAGTATAGGCTGAATTTAGTAATTTATTTTGATCAGAGAGGTGACAGAATATAACTTTCAAGATTAAGTCATGGAAAGACTGTAGTTTCTGTCTCAGGGGCCTTTGAACTCTTCCTTGGATCCTTCACTCTTGCCGCAGGAGAGGCACACTACCATGCTGTGAGCAGTACGAAAGAGACCCACACAACAAGGAACTCACACCCCTAGCCAAGAGCCAGAGAGGGCCTGAGGCTTGTCAGGAAGCACATGAGCGAGCCTGGGACTAGATCCCCTTCGAGTTGCGCTCTGCAAGGAGTGTAGCCTCAGCCACCATCCTGACCACCAGGGCCAGGACATCCCAAACCAGAAACACTCAGCTAAGCTAAACGCTTGTTTTCAGCTACTATGGTTTGCAGTGATTGATTACACAGCAACAGATAATGGAAAAACCAGTTAGGAGATCGGTCCAATAATCTGAACAAGAGATGCTGGTTGACTTGGCCCCAAGGCTAACAGCAGAGGTGGTGAGAAGTGGTTGGGGAGGGGGATTCAGGATGGGGGGGAGGGACACATATGTATACCCATGGCTGATTCATCTTAATGCATGGCAAAAACCTCCACAACATTGTAAAGTAATTAGCCTCCAATTAAAAAAAAAAGTGGTGGGACTCTGGGTATATTCTGAGAGAAGGGTTAAGTGGATTTGTCAGCATGTTTGAGAGTCTAGGTAAGAGAAGGGTAGGATAAAAATGAATCTGAGGTGTTGGATCTCAGCAAGTGAAAAACTGGAACTGCCCTTTATAAAGATGATAAACACTGTGAGAAAAGCTGGGAGGGAGTTGGAGGCAGTTGCTACCACAACTCAATTCTAAACATGTTAAGCTTGATGGCTCTGAGACACCTGAGTAGCCAAGAAGGCCACTAGAACAAATGAATCTGAGAGGATTTGGGGCAGTGATGTGAATTTGAGTCTTCAAGTACATAGAAGGTATTTAATACCATAAGCCCAGAAGAGATCAACAGGGCAGTGATTAATGAAGAATCAGGAACAGGTCAAGGACGGAGCCCTGGGACCGGAGTTTGAGGAAAATTCACAACAAGAGGTTGAGCAGAAGCAGCCAGCCATGCTGGAGGAAATCCAGGCAAATGTGGGCGTCTAGAAGGCAATGAAGAAAGGGCTTCAAGAGGAAAACAGGGATCAGCTGTGCCAGGTTGGCCAGCAGTCAAGCAGATAAGTATTTTCTGACCTGACATTTTTAATAATGGTTGATTTTCTGGACTCAACTCACCTCGCTTTCTTGAGTAAAGTCAAGGGCATCTTCTCCTGATGCCAGCAGGGTGTGGAGAATCCGCTGCTTCACTTGTTCCCACTCGACCAGCATTGACTCTCGATGGTACTCCTCAGCCATGCCAAAGGTCTGGAGGAGAGGAGAAGAGAGACAGGACCCGAGTGAGAAAACAAAGAACACGGTTTCCCTTAATGTGCAACAGAAATTCAAAACCCTCTTGATCTGCCATCTTTCCATTATCAGAGCAAAGGCAAGCTATTTCAAATTATCCTTAAAGAACTTACTGAGAGTTGTTTGCAAACATGCCCTATTTCATCAAGTCTAACATATGAAAAGCAAATTTTTAATTGTGGTAAAATGTATTTAACCATAAAGCTTACCATTTTAACAACTTAACTGTGCAGTTCAGTGGCATTAAGTTCATTCATATGGCTGTGCAAACATCACCACCATGAATCTCCAGAATGCTCTTCATTGTGCAAAAATGAAACTCTGCACCCATTAAACAATACCTCCATTGCCACCATCCCCCAGACAAAGGCAACCACCATTCTACTTCTGTCTCTAGGATTCTGACATGTCTAGGTACCTCACAGAAGTGCAATCATACAGTATTTGTCTTTTTGTGTCTGGCTTATTCCACTTAGCATAATGTCCCCAGGTTCATCTGTGTTGCAGCATATGCAGTCTCCTTCCGTGTTAAGGCTGAATAATACTCCACTATACATATACACCACATTTTGTTTATCCATGCCTCTATCCATGGACATGTGAGTTGCTTCCAACTTTTGGTTAATATGAATCATGTTTCTGTGAACCTGTGTGTACACATATCTCTTCAAGTTCCTGCTTTCAATTCTTTGGGATACATATCCAGAAATGAAATTGCTGGATCACACGGTCATCCTATGTTTAATTTCTTGAGTGACTGCATAATGTTTTCAATGAGGCTACACTTTTTCATTCCCACCAACAGTGCACAATAGTTCCAATTTGTCTACATCCTCTCCAATATCACTTTCTGGGTTTTTTGACTGTAGCCATGCTAATGGGTGTGAGGTGATAACTCCTGGTTTTGATGTGCATTTCTCTAATGAGTAGTAATGCTGAATTTTTTTCTTATGTGCTTATTAAGATAAATACCTTCTTAAAACTGTAACCCTCTGAACTGAGGCTACATATTATGATTGATAGCATGTCAAAGGTTTAAATTGAAGTACTATTCTTTAAAGTACTTTTTCTGTGCTGTACACAAAATAATGATGGATTTTAAGTCAATGGTATCTTAAGATTTAATGAGCATCTAAGATGAGACAGAATTTTCCCAGTGTCTTTTTTTAAGAAACAGTAATATTTTTATCAGTTCAGTTCAGTTCAGTCGCTCAGTCGTGTCCGACTCTTTGCAACCCCATGAATTGCAGCACTCCAGGCCTCCCTGTCCATCACCAACTCCTGGAGTTTACTCAAACTCACGTCCATCGAGTCGGTGATACCATCCAGCCATCTCACCTTCTGTTGTCCCCTTCTCCTCTTGCCCCTAATCCCTCCCAGCATCAGGGTCTTTTCCAATGAGTCAACTCTTCGCATGAGGTGGCCAAAGTATTGGAGTTTCAGCTTCAGCATCAGTCCTTCCAATGAACACCCAGGACAGATCTCCTTTAGGATGGACTGGCTGGATCTCCTTGCTGTCCAAGGGACTCTCAAGAGTCTGCTCCAACACCACAGTTCAAAAGCATCAATTTTTCGGTGCTCAGCTTTCTTCACAGTCCAACTCTCACATCCATACATGACCACTGGAAAAACCATAGCCTTGACCAGATGGACCTTTGTTGGCAAAGTAATGTCTCTGCTTTTTAATATGCTATCTAGGTTGGTCATAACTTTCCTTCCAAGGAGTAAGTGTCTTTTAATTTCATGGCTGCAATCACCATCTGCAGTGATTTTGGAGCCCAAAAAAATAAAGTCTGACATTGTTTCCACTGTCTCCCCGTCTATTTCCCATGAGGTGATGGGACCAGATGCCATGATCTTAGTTTTCTGAATGTTGAGCTTTAAGCCAACTTTTTCACTCTCCTCTTTCACTTTCATCAAGAGGCTTTTTAGTTCCTCTTCACTTTCTGCCATAAGGGTGGTGTCATCTGCATATCTGAGGTTATTGATATTTCTCCTAGCAATCTTGATTCCAGCTTGTGCTTCTTCCAGCCCAGCGTTTCTCATGATGTACTCTGCATATAAGTTAAATAAGCAGGGTGACAATATACAGCCTTGACGTACTCCTTTTCCTATTTGGAACCAGTCTGTTGTTCCATGTCCAGTTCTAACTGTTGCTTCCTGACCTGCATACAGGTTTCTCAAGAGGCAGGTCAGGTGGTCTGGTATTCCCATCTCTTTCAGAATTTTCCACAGTTTATTGTGATCCACACATTCAAAGGCTTTGGCATAGTCAATAAAGCAGAAATAGATGTTTTTCTTGAACTCTCTTGCTTTTTCGATGATCCAGCGGATATTGGCAATTTGATTTCTAGTTCCTCTGCCTTTTTTTTTATTTTCATAGGAGGAAGTAAATCAGTTTAAAAAAAAAAAAAAAGACAAAAAAACCTAGAGCCTTCTACAAGTTTCCTATCTCAGTCTACTCAAAGTCACTCTTGAAATCTCTGACAAACCTCACTCTTATTTGCTAGTGACACTGCAGGTTGCCAAAGCAAATGCACTCAGGAAAAAAAAAGGAAGGAAAACAGAAAAGAAGGGAGGGAGAAAGGAAGGGAAAAACAAACAGCAACAATAACCCCTCCTCCCAAAAAAAGACAAAAAAACACCCTTCAAAACTAAAACAAAACCCTCTGAGGGGGAGATTAAAGCAACTTATAGAGACATACTGAATCATAACCATTCTTAGCCTATGATTCTTTAATTGGCAAACCAGGTTTCCCATAAGCTTGAGCCCACTTTTCAAAATGCCATTTCATTTACAATCAGATTGGCATCCAGTTAGGCAGCACCAAGAGAATGAGTATTAGTGATGCCTGCTTTATTTCTGGCAACAAAGATAACTTATATACTGATAATATCCATATATGTGAGCTCTGGGAAACTCTAAGAAAAATCATATACTCTTTTTACAAATGTGATGTTTGCATATGGACCAATATTTATTAAAATATGAAAAAGAAAGCAGACTGCCACAAAAATGATTAGGAAGAGGGTTGGCACATCCTGCAAATTTGATTTGGTCCATCTATCCGTGTATTCCTAACGTGTACTCTAAAGACAGAAGAAGAAATGATAATCAAAAACTTTAAAAATAGACTTTCACTTGGTTCTCTTCTGAGAGTCAGGCAGAAAAGACCATTCCAGTTATCCTGGATTGAAAAAAAAAATACCTAGAGAAAAATCATTTTTTCTTGCTACATTAGGGACCTTAAACATGAAAGCTATGCTTCTTGAACAGAGAGAAGGATGTTGGACAGAAAGATGGGGGGGAATGGAGAGGGGAAGGTTCTAGGGTACCTAGAAGCTACCCAGAAATGCTGCACGTGTTGAACCACATTTCTTCTAAACCTCTTCTTGTTTAGTGGTCAACCACCTCCTCAACATTGAACCTGTCTGAGTAAGGGAAAACAGAGAGCTATGTGGCAGGTGGACCAGGGTGGGCTGAAATAGAGGTGGAGAGCTGGCATCCCATACAGCTTTCCAAACTTGCAACAGGAAGTGAAGCAGTGACTAAGCTGTGGCACTGACCCAAGACACCAGGGCATCACATGAGTTTTTTTAAGGGTAAGTCCTCCGGCTGTTGAAGAATGGCAAACAGTAAAGGCAACTGAAGAGAACACAATCTGTCTCAGAGACACTGTTGATGAGGATGGCAGGGGCAGACTTCCAGCATCATGTAAGGGTCAGAACCACAACAGTGGGAATCAATCATCCCTTGTTAATCAAGCTGCCCACCTGTGTGCCAAGAACTGCTTCAGGAACACAGGAAGTACTCTGAAAACTGGCAGCTTTCTGGGCTCCAGTCCTCAGAATCTATCTGAGAAGTACGCCAGGCTACTCATTTAGAAACAGCCCCACAACCTGAACAAACAGCACTGTCATTCCATTCATCATTAGTGTGATAAGGAGCTTCAAATAAAAATAAATGGCCCAACATTAAAATTCTCTTCTCTTGACCATGCCACCCCTAGCTTATCTTAATTACATTAGAGATAATGGAACATCCAATTTGTGGGCTAATCAGGGATGATCAGCCGCCCATCTGCCCTCTTCCAGCCTATTCCCTTTAGACCCACATCTGAACCACCGGATTAGGTGCAAAGAAGAATGTCAACTAGAAGAGCTAATCAGAGAGAATCAACAGAGCTAAGAACTAAGAGGAGAGGAGGACAGGGAGGGTCTTAAGTGAGGTGAGAGAAAAGAAGGAAAGAAACCCAAGGGAAGAGAAGAGGGATAACCTGGAAGGGTGTGCAGAGGTCTACAAATTAAAAGGAAAGACAAACCACAGAAAATGACAAAGCAGGGAGAAACTGTTATAAACTAGATCTGAATCTTTCAAGTTATGTGGGGAAACAGATCTCTTAAAGACAATTAAGAAAGGCAGGCAGGGAAAGAACTGGGCAACTGAATTAAAAACAGGTGGGGAGCACTCGAACCCCATTTTCATAAAGGGAAGAGGGCAATATGCTTTGACTTCACACCCGCTTATTACTGAGCTGTTGCTGGCTTTTAGAAACTCTACATATGTTCTGATAATGTTGTTCTGTTTTTGCTGGGATGCACCAAATGGGAAAAGATAGGACACATTTGTGGTTCTGTAGCTTGTTTTCTTGGCATTTCAGCAGGACATTGGCAAGTTATTCAAACGTGAAATTACCACCAAAATGCCAGGAAGCTGCTCACCTTTTGTTTGAAAATGATTCTTGCTCAGTGGCAGCTTCCCGGTGTCCAGACAGGTGAAAGGTCCCACCTCAGGGCTAGCTCCCAACACCGGAACACCTCCCTCACAAACACATATGCACACATTTTGCACTGTGGTATGTCACTTAAATGTTTTGGCTGGCCGCACATTTAGTCTCAGTATGGCACAACGTTCAGAGACTGCCAATTTCAGAAGCACATTCCACAGGGTAAATGGATTAATAAGGCTCGGTGGCATTCGACAATCCTAATTTAATTTCATTGGTCCTGTGCAGCAGGAGAATCAATGTTGGTGAGTAACTCATTCCAAGTGTGAACAAAAAGGAAAAAAAAACCTTAAAAATTTTTTTTTTTCAATTCTGGATCAAGTGACTTTCTCTATTTCTAGGAATAAGTACTATTGCCAACAATATAATTAATTAAATTTTAGGGAATTTTACTCTGATAATTAAACATACCAGTCACTCAAATAATGTCTCTGAAACAGATTCTTATCAATTAGAGCTGGAAAGCCCCCCTGCTGCCCTGTCTCACTCACATCAGCCCTAATGAGACACTTTCACCTGTAGGGAGTATTTAATAAAGCACACCAAGAAGCAGTTACTTTTTTTCCTCTCTCTTATTTTTTGAACCATATAAATAATATACAAGTGTATTTCACGTGATCTATGGGCTACATAAGTAAACAGCAGAAGAGAGGTCCCTTCACCCCTACTCGTCCTTGCAGATACAGGGACTGCTTTCAGACTAACATGAAGTCCCCAGCCTCCTTCCTGGGAAAAGTAGCATCTTTAGAACCAACTCCACATAATCACTAAGCTGCTTCTTCCTCCTTTCCCAAAAGACCCAGGGACCTGAAAATTTCTTACTCCATAATGGAAGGTTTTGGAAAGGTTTTGATCTTTTCATCCTTGTCAAACAACTGAAGATAACTCACATGATAGTAAAGTCAATGATCTTTGAGTATCCTGTGGGAATGCTTGCTGCAAAATATTGCTGCCCGTATCATGGCTGTTCTGGCTGACTTACGTACTATCCTCTTGAACATCAAGATGTTTTTGTTTGTTCGAAAGAGCTTGGAGAAATTGCTAATTTAAAAGGTGGTGTAGAAAGTCAAATCTTATGACAAAAGGAAAATAAATTAGGGAAAACTATCAAGGATCATAACTGCTCTTCTGAATTGCTGGTTCAGTAGAAACCAAAATGCCATTTATACTATAACAATGAAATCAAAGAATTGCCTTGCTCTCCCATTTCAAGATTAACTTAATGGTTAACTGCCCAGCCCAGGATTTCAGATGCAGTCACTGGATACACACAGAGTTACAAGCATAGTATTTTCCTCAAAAATGGTTACTGTAAAACTCCCCCTGGTGAACTACCAGGAGATCTGGGCCTGGGACAGAGAATCCAGCTTCTAGAACCTGTACACTCCAGCATCTATGCTGCCCTCACAACAGCACACATCTATGCCTTTCTTACCCTCTTCCGGGACTCTTCGATGGCAGACAGCAGGGCATTGTCCTTTTCATTCTTTAGGAAGCCCTGGGAAGAAGGAGAGAAATGATAAAACTTAGGTCAAAATTAACAAAATTAACCTTTAAAGAATCAAAAGCACACTGTAGGAAGAAGAAGAAGAAGAAGAAGAAGAAAAACCAACCATAAGGATATCTGTTACCCTGCTTACCTTCACCCTCAACAAATGCTCTCAACTTGAAAATATTACATACTACAGTTTTGGATATGCAGCCAGTCACAGTGCCTGTAACTGTTCTGGTCTACGATTTCTTCCTAATATTGAGGAAGCCATCAGCCATCCTTCTGTTTGGGTGTTTTTCACTTATTTCTCAATGGCTGGGATACCTGCAAAACCATTTATTTACATACTTCTTCTGGGGTTATGCCACATGTGCCCCCCTATTTCAGGCCAGATGACATATACTGTTTATTTAATACAGGTGGGGGGAAGAAGAACCGGCCCACAAGGCTGATTTAACATGCAAAGGGTGAAATGTGTGTAAATACAACTTCATGGTAACACAACAGACCTAGTTTTACACTGTGCTCCCCCTATTTACTACTCGCATGGGCGACTTGATTTTAGACCAGTCACCCAGATTCTCTAAGCTGTAGTTTACTCAGATGTAAAATGAAAATTAAAGGAGATAATGTAATCAAATGCTCGGCCCAAGGCTCAATACATGTAGTTCTAGCATTAGGACTGATTAGATCTAGATCTGCTGGTGACATTAAAGCAAGATGCCCAGGGTGACTTCCTTGCTGTTATTCATTGTCTTCATTGCTCAACCTGAGATCCTGGGGAAAAGGAGAAGGTATAGCTGCAGACAGAGTGGGCTTCCATGCCTGTCTCTAGGTTAGTACCTGGCCCTTCACAGAGGAGTGAAGCTAGGATGTGGGGGCCAAGTAGGAACAAGGAACACAATCCATTAACTAATAGTTGGAGATCAAAGCCTTAGTTGTAAATGAAAGAACTGGCATCATTCTATACATTAGATCCACCTGTACTATGGAATTCAAGGTACTTGCGCATCAAGAACACTGTGGGTATATTTATATGTGTTCAAAATCATGTTTCTTTTTTTTTCAGAATCATGTTTTTACTGTTCTTGTTTTAGGAACTCTTTGGGGAACTATAACACAAAGTAGAATTAAGCTAAAAGTTTCATGCTAAATTGTAAAACATTATCTGACAGTTTTCTTGAAAACTTATTGTCATGATTGATTTATCAATCACTTATTTATATCTCAACAACTGTAATGTTTTAGTATATTTTATTCAAACAGTCCCAGTTATAAGGCTATGATTCTTAAGACAAAACAAAACAAAACAGTGGTAGGGGGCTAGATAAGACTGGAGACATATATTTTAAAAAAATATGACTGATCTTTGCACAATTCTCCACATCTGTCATCACACCCCAACCTGGGCTGAGCATCAGAATGCACAATGGCCAGTAGTTCTGGGAGCAGTTATCTTGTTGGCTTTTCCAGGGCAGGCAGCCCCGAGGCAGCACTCAGGCTGCTCCAAACACCTACACTGACATTTGGGGGAGGTGGAGGGGTGGAGAGAAGGACTCATCGGCCACTTGCCAACTAATATAATAGCCTCAATAAACCAGAGTATGTAAACCTAACACTCCATGGAATCCACTCAGGAGAGGTCAGCTTGTTACCACATGCCTGTTTCTGATCATTGCAAGGGAGCCAGACATGACATGATGGGGAGGATTTTAATGGACCTTGTTCATACCCTTCACAGCAAATGATTCTATCAAATAAACAAACCTTTACTATGATTCCCTGTTCCTGAGCCGGTCTTCAATGGCTACAGCCAAAGGCTTTAGTGTCACAGTTTGTAAACAGAGCGACAGAACTATTATCTTCCACTGCCGCTCCTGAACAAAGAGCAGGCATAGTCTGTGCTTTGTTGCACTGCTTCACACCGCTGATGGTCAGGGTGGTGGTGATAACCACTGCCTGACAGGCCAGGTTTCAATTTTTTCTTTTTGGTTGGGGTGGGAGGGGCTGTGCCAACTGCCCCACCTCCTCTCTGAGCTTCTCTGCTCTTCCCAGTGACCAGCCATCTCATTCTTTCAGCTGCATCCATGTCTGTCTATAACCCACATACACACAATTCAAACACAAATGCAAAGCAACAGACAGTTGTTTAAAAGCAACATAATATTCTGTAAGAAACACAATTTCAAAATTTCTAAGAAATGAAATTTCAAGTAGTGGTTAAGAAACAAAAATGAAGAAAAAAAAGGCATTGTTGGAGGGGGTATAGCTTACTCTCTTCTTATAACCCCACCTTCCCAAAATCTCACTAAATAAATTAAATGAAGCATTTGTGCATGAGAATCAAATTACAGATATCACCCACATATGAACAAAGACCATGAGCCATGATGAACCTCAACAATAGGGCTTTCTCTACAGCACAAGCCAAGTCTACAAAATACATGGAATGTGAATTTTAATTTTTCATCCTTTATTCACTCCTAAAATGAAATGTTAAAATATTTTAATATATTTTATTTTTAAAAACAACGTATCAGTGACCTATCTTTTGAAAAGAATCTTAAACATATTACCCAGTCAGAATAGTGCTGGGATCTGTGTGCCATCTAGTGGCAGTTAGATTCTTGTAAAGAACGTATGTCTTAAGGAAAAATAAAAATCAAAGAACTAATAAGTTGGGCAAGAAAACATCTGCCTCAGTCCAAGTTTCCCCTGGGTCTCTCCTTCCACCTCCCTTTTCCATGTGCGTGTTTTCTTCTCCCGTGAGGCACCTTTCAGGCCCTTCACCTCAGAGACATATTTTTAAAGCTTATCAGAATATGGCTTTTCTACAGAGGTGAGCTGGGGCATGAACAGTGTACTAGGAGATGCCTTCTCCCCGTGGGCGGGGCTCCCTGCTCCACTGAAGATTCCTGGTTAAAGAGAAGGCCCAACAGCTCACTTCCTACTTGAAGATGCCAGCTGTGTAACTGGGACCCTCTGATATCCTCATCATTAATTTCTCCTCTTTTTGTCAACAAGTGCTTTTTTAATCGCTCATAGTCCCCAACCCTTCTACTGCTGGCCCCCTCAATAAAGAACATTCCATAAACATCTGCAGGCCTTCTAAGTAAGATAACTACTCCCGACTTCCCATCTGTATATGCTCTTCTCTGCCAGAGTTCTGGAAACAGACCCTTTTCTAACTGGCTCCTTGAATGGGTTTTGGTTTCAAGCTTTCTGTAACATATAATAGCTTCTATTCAGGAAGCAATTAAGGGCCAGACACTGCTCCAAGCAATTCAAAGACATTATTGCTAATCTTTTAACAATATGAAAGAATAGACATCCATTCTCCTCCCTCCCCTCCCAATCACATTTTACAGGTAACAGATTTCAGCATTCAACTAACACTGACAAGGGTTCCCAACCAAGAAGTGGCAGGGGAAGAATTCAAGCACAGCTCAAACTCTCAAAAGACCAACTGCTTCTGAAATACTGAGGGAATAGTAAACTTAGTAATATTCGGAAAATAAAAATAAAATTTCCTTTTATCTCTAAAAGGATGGAGTCCATGATGGGAGCAAAATATCCTTAGATTTGTTTCCTTCATCAATTATCAATTCCCCTTCATAGATGATGAAATTAAAGGCTCAAAGAATACCAATTCTTATACCAGTACTAGTAAGAGTGAACACTTACATGGATATGATTATTACTTTGTCCTAAGTGTGTGCTGCACATATTTGGTTCTAGTCTTCACTTTTAACCCAATGCTCAACTGACTCTCAATAGTACTTAACTGGATAATCCCATAAAGTATCAATATGTTCTTAATATAGGTTTAAAAGTTGAAAGGACTTTCAAGATAGTTTTCAGAGCTTCCATCAACTCTAAAACATTACGGTTCCATATTAAGATGACCTGGTTCGTACTGAGTCAAGTTCAGACTTGGAATCCAAATTTTCTGACCCCTTTTCTACCTTTTTCCACTCTACCATGCAAATCAGGATGAGATAAACAGCTGTTTTATGCTTGCATATTTACCCCTCCTCCCCTACCTCACACAGGTGAGGAATGAAACAATAAATGTCAAGTTTGGGGCATTTATTTAGAATAGTGTTTTTCAAAATGTGCATCAAAACTCATAATTGGGTCATGAAATTAGCATATTTAAAATGAAATAAAATATAACAGAGATATATGGTATGGATAGATACTGTATTGTGAAACTTTCAATTACATATACATATTTGTATGTAGAAGTGGGTCATGGTGTTACATGTCTTTCTTACTATGGATCACAGACAAATAAAAGTGGAGAAATCACTGTTCTAGACTGTCCACTGTATACTGTCCCAAAATATCGCTATTACTTATTGCTGTGGAACAATAAACACTGTACATCTGCACAAGTAATATCTCCAGCCACGTGTTCCATCTTTAGAAGTGGGATGCCTTGCAACATATACTGGCTGAGAACAATCTAGAATGCAGCCGCAAGGTAAGCCACATCTCCTATCAAAAGTGTAGGGACCCGGTAGGCCAAACTGGCTTTTAAATGGCTCAGGTTGAAAAAGACAAGCATGAAAAACTGTCTTAATCACCACGCACACTCTGGGTTTCAGACTATAAATGACCGCAGAAAAAGCGAGTGGGCAAGGATGTTTGTTTTTGTCAAATGGCCAAATTCTCTTCCTTTATTTGCTTTCCAAAAGTAAAAGTGTAAGAAATAAGGGTCTCTGTGAGAAAAATTTTAGTGTCCCCTTTAGCTAGGGAAGTGTGACAGCAAAAGAGAGCTTGCATTGATTCTTTCACAGTCCTTTGCTTCCCACCAACAAGTAAGTGGTTTGTCGAAGAGTTATGTAAATGGTTTGAAGTAAATAACACATAGATTTCCTGATCGTTAAAAAATAAAAAAATAAAATAAAATAATTAGTCTAAGTTGGCTCCATAAAACAAAAGCCAAAAGTTTACATGGAGCTCAAAACACGAAAGACCACTCTAAGTCTCTTTCCTTTCAA